AATTCTCTAATATTGCAAGATGCCATGTCAGGCCCTACATGATATTGTCACGGCTAAAGGCCGGGCAAGAAGACAGAGGACGATGAAGTTATGAGCGTGGACAGCACCCACGGTTCCTCCGAGGAAGAAGAAGTCGAAGCGGCTGCTCTTTTGTTCTGTTCATACAGACCTCGTTTTTCTGGTCGCACCGTCGTCCTGTATTCTGTTATTTTCACCTAGTGACATTGGTGGAGGTGCTGGACTTCTCCAACTGATGCTTGGGACCACTCCCGCGCCCTAGCACATCGAGTCCACCACCGCAATTCGTTCCTGCAGTGGATACTCCTGTCCACCGCTACAGTCGCCGACAGCGAGGCCTTAGTCCCGAGGCGATCCCGCTCGAACTTCTCCAGCAACACACCGTACCAGGAGAAATGGCTATCGGAGGGCCTTCACAGCTTACTGTTGATCAGCCTCTAATTCCTGAGACCTTCCACGGTGAGGTTTATGAAGATGTCGAGGACTGGTTAGCCCAGGATGAGCGAGTCGCCAAAGCCAACCGCTGGTCCACTGAGCAAAAGCTATCGCGCGTCTACTTTGCTTTGGCAGACAGCGCTCGTATGTGGTACGAGAACAACGAGTCAACGCTTTCTTCGTGGGAAGAATTTCGGCAGCAAATTCTCGGGACATTCGCAAACACCGACCGCCATGATTCTGCTTTGCAGCTCATCGAGGCACGCATACAGAAACCAAACGAGAGCGTCGCCATGTTTGCGGAAGACATGACCCGCCTATTTCACCGGGCCGACCCCGAGATGCTTGAAGGTAAAAAACTCTGACATTTGATGAGGGGCGTCAAAGAAGAGCTGTTTGCCGGTCTCCTACGCAACCCACCAACAAGCGTAGCCGAATTTGTCAAAGAGGCTACAACAATCGAGTGAGCACTGCAGCAACGGCGCCGATACCATGACCAACCAATCAAACATCTCCCAGTCCTCTGCTTTGAGTGCCGGTAGTGAGTGTTCTCTGCGCGAACTCATTCGTGAGGTCGTTCGGGAGGAGATACGAAACCTCCTTGTGACTCCGCAAGAAAATACCATGGCTTGCGTTGCAGAGGTTGTGCGGAAAGAACTCCGCCAGGCATTTTTGTTGCCCGAATCGCCCTCAGACCAGCGGTCTGTGAGCTACGCATCAGCTGTCCGTCGACACACTCCAGTGTCCTACAACTCGTCACCACTAGCTTATCGTGACGTGAGCCAAGGCCTTACAACGAGCCGCGGGCCCCAGCTCCCAATTCCGCCGCAGCCGTATCCACAATCCAACGTGCCTATGCAAACGGCGCCAATGTACACTCCGCCGACATCTGCATCTTGGCCGCAAGGTATGCCCACCAGTCGACCATTCATCCGTAAGACGGACTTGTGGCGCACCGTCGACCGTCGACCACTTTGCTTTCATTGTGGAGAAGCCGGCCATATTTTCCGCAATTGCCCGTACCGTGACCGTAGACATCATAACTTTCTACAAACCTCCCCTCGTGCCTATTTCGATAACCGCCGTTACAGCAGTGCAGACCCGCAAGCACAGCAACCCGAAGTGCCGTATCGTCGACCCCGCTCTCCTTCACCTGCACCGAACTCGCCGCCGCAGCGCAGTTACTCCGAGGTGGTCCGGGGCAGATCTCCTAGCCCTCGTCGGGGAAACAACAGCTGCGACCTTTGGGGGGAAGGTTGCCGCCCATCGAGATGCTATCACACCCCCAACATCTCTCTACGACGCGATACGACGAATGATACCACGGATCGTACGACGCACAATACCAAGGACGATACGACGTCACCGACATCAACGGAAATCGTAAGCGCCAATCTAGACATTTGTATAGACGGACGCCCAGTAACAGCACTGGTAGATACTGGTGCGGACTTCTCTATTATAAGCCGTAACTCGCCGACTGCCTAAAGAAAGTAAGAACAATATGGACGGCCCAAACATTAGAACGCAGGGGGTCAATTGGTGACGCTGACGGGCAAATGTACAGATCGAATTAATATCGGCAGTTCAGATTTCGTCGCTACTTTCGTAATTTTACCGGAGTGCTGCAAAGACCTGATCTTGGGCATGACTTCTTGCGTGATACGGTGCCATTATCAACATTCCTGAGAGATCAGTTACGTTTTGGACGGCCCCAGATCAAGTTTCGGATGTGCCCTGTACAGACCAGCGACGTCAGCCTTTGCGCGTCTTCGAAGATCCGCCGGACTAACACTTAAGCCGGAAAAATGCCATTTCGGCTTCGAAGATCTTCTGTTCCTGGGGCATCTTGTCAGTAGTGAGGTGTGCGGCCGACCCTGAAAAAATAGCTGCCGTTACGAATTTTCCAGCGCCAACTGACAAAAAGGCGGTCAGACGGTTTTTAGGACTGTGTGCTTACTACCGACGCTTCATTGAGAACTTCTCGCGCATTGCCTCGCCGTTGACCCGCCTTACCAGAGAAACGTCGCATTCGTATGGAATGAAGAGCAGCAAAAATCATTCGACGAGCTGCAACAACGCCTTCAAAAGCCACCAGTCCTCGCACACTTTGATGATGACGCACCGACAGCAGTGCACACCGACGCTAGCAATGTCGGCTTAGGAGCTGTACTCGTGCAGTGGCAGGATGGCGCCGAACGAGTAATGCTTACGCGAGCAGAACTCTTTCACGTGCGGAAGAAAAATTATTCCACTACGGAAAAAGTGTGCCTTGCGGTGGGTGGGCGGTTATAAAATTTCCGCCCATACCTGTATGGTCGTCTTTTTAATGTTGTCAGTGACCATCACTCCCTCTGCTGGCTGACAAATTTAAGAGACCCTTTAGGACGGTTGGCGCACTGGAGCCTGAAGCTTCAAGAATTGACATGACGGTGGTCTACAGATCGGGGAAGCGACATTCAGACGCTGATTGCCTTTCTCGTGCGCCATACGAACCTGCGACGGCAAAAGATGACGTACAGCCTTTGTCGGAGTTGTAAACACGACAACTGTCACACAGCTGCAGCGAGACGACCCCGAACCAGAACCCATAATACGTTTTTTAGAGGGTCGCACTTCAGCTGTACCTAGACTGTTTGCGAGAGGGCTTTCGTCATTTTGCTTGTGCAACGACGTCCTGTATAAGATGAACTTCACGCCACACGGAAACGACTACTTACTCGTCGTCCCAACATCTCTAAGGAGCGAAGTATTACAGGCATGCCACGATGAACCACATCCGGCCACCTGGGTTACACGCGTACGTTGTGCAGAGTGAGGCAGAAATACTACTGGCCAAGACATACGGCGACCGTTCAACACTATGTTCGGACGTGCCTTGATTGCCAGCGCAGAAAAGTTCCACCCGTCAAACCAGCAGGCCTCCTCCATCCTATTGACGTGCCTGTTACTCCATTCGCTTCAAGTCGGAATGGATCTTTTGTGCCCATTTCCAACCTCATCAGCAGGTCGCAGATGGATTATAGTAGCCACCGACTACCTCACTCGTTAAGCCGAAACCAAGGCTTTGGAGAGGGGCACGGCAAGTGAAGCAGCCCGATTTTTCATAGAGAATGTGGTGCTGAGGCGTATGGTGCTCCATCAGTGGTAATAACTGACAGGGGAACTGCATTCGCAGCCAAACTATTACAGACGTTTTAAAACTTAGTGGCACATCCCACCGGCGAACAACGGCGTATAATCCGCAAGCGAATGGTCTTACGGAGCGTCTCAACAAGACACTAGCGGATATGCTCTGCATGTACGTCGATGTGGAGCATAAAAACTGGGACGAGATCTTGCCGTATGTCACGTTCGCCTATAACACGGCTCATCAAGAAACAACAAGAACAACGCCATTCCGCCTTCTTCGTGGTCGTGAAGTCAACACTATGCTGGATGCTATGCTGCCGCACGAGTGCAAAGACGCTGAAACGGATGCTGATTATATCACTCAGCTGGCCGAAGAAGCCCGACAACTTGCACGCCTACGTATTAGTCGCCAGCAGGACTACGATTCAAGACGGTACAACCTTCGTCACCGACCAGTCTCCTACGAGCCAGGAGAGAAAGTTTGGATATGGACACCTATTCGGCGCCGTGGCCTCTCAGAAAAACTGTTAAGACGGTACTTCGGTCCCTATAAAGTTCTGCGACGTCTCAGTGACATTAATTATGAGGTTGTTCCTGATACTGCGCACTCTTCAAGGCGTCGAAGGTATGCTCCAGAAGTTGTTCACGTGGTACGCATGAAGCCTTATTCTCCGAATGAACTCATGCGTTTCCACGAGTACAAACCACTTGATTATAAGCATCGGGACGATGCTTTCTTGAATGGAGGCTAATGTCACGGCTAAAGGCCAGGCAAGAAGACAGAGGACGATGAAGTGAATGAGCGTGGACAGCGCCCACGGTTCCTCCGAGGAAGAAGAAGTCGAAGCGGCTGCTCTTTTGTTCTGTTATACAGACCTCGTTTTTTCTGGTCGCACCGTCGTCCTGTTTCTGTTATTTTCACCTAGCGACAATTTGGCACGAAGTCGTGACGTGGGCGAAGGAAGCAAACTGCAATTATGAGATGAAACTATTTATTTAGCCGAATCTATGGCCCGTAACTGAAGGTCAGATTACAGCGATTCCCATGGAGCAAATAGCGGCGAACGGAGCGTCGGTGACATTCATCACCAGTTTCGCAGTGCTCAACTTCGAACTGATCACAACCAATCCTGTGGGCTGCGAGATATCTTAATGTTGCAACGAATAGCTTAGTTGTGGCAGTGCCAGCATTGCTTGAATGTTTTGCTAATGTATGTGCCGACGTTTTTTACTTCTACGATGCTTGCAAAAAAAACCACAGTTCTCTACACCTTCTGAGAGCCGCACAACTTCTCAATTTGCCGTGGTGCGTATAACAAGAGTGATGCTCGCTTTTATCGCAAGACAGGCGCAATTTGGTTGAGCGTAAAAGTGTGGCAGCTTGTGTCCTCATGTCCTTCTTGTCTTTTTTGTACGTCGTTCTGTTCTCGCGCTACAAACTATCGTCGGTCGCTGCGGCCGCGCTCTAGCAGACGATGCGGCGAAGGCCCCGCTGCAGCTGTAATTGCGCTTGTACACTAGTTTTCAAAGCGTCCGGCAGAGGTGATCCGCGAAGCGCCGGCCTAAAAACCCTTGATATTCGGAAAGTAATGGGCAGAGACTGCTGCGCCGTGTGGCGCATGAGCCACTTTACCCAGAAACGGCTGCTGTGCCGCACGGAAGTGACGCCATGCACTTTTTCCGGTAAGGCGCTTGGTTGAATATCTCGGAGTGTCTAGCGGTATGTGTAGACGTACCGATAGAAGCCATTAAAAGTTACGTAAAAAGGGTAAAAAAATGTTAGCTAAGACCAGTGTGACAATACGAAACCGGCTTGTTAATACTATGCAACGATTGGTAGTTAGTTAGAGCAACACATTAAGAACGGGTGAGGTCGGTGGTTGAGCCCCGTTGTTAATTTTTTATTTCTGTTTTTGTTTTGTTCACTCATGTTTGTTTTAACATTTGCGCCTCTCATTGGCCGCCCGTCAGCCTGACTTTCTGTTGGTCGTCCTGTCCACAGACCCTAAATATTGGGATGTTTGATGGACTCTCACAGACATGCTATATTTGTTATGATAAAGTATTTTGCGAATTATTGGCTAGACGCAAAAGGACACGAAAAATTCAAATGCAGCTGGCCGCATTAGTTCTCTGGCACATGCGTCCAGGAATAGTGATTTTCACGGTTTACATAAGTTTTGATGATAGAAAGGCCCACTGCAACATTGGCACAGGAAAGTTTATGTCACTCAGTGTACCATCACCTGACGAGGTAACCAGCAGGCCGCTTCAAAATACTGACGTGTCACCACGATGCTATAGGTGGTCAGCACTTCATAAATGATGCCCAAGGCAAGTGTCGACGGCATTAGCCCATCTAACTACAAAACAGCTTGTCTGCCTTGCTGAATGACACGCGTGGCCTGTGACAGCACGAGAACATTTACGAAGACACGGATGAGAATGGCCGTACGTGTTCGCACTTAACAAAACAGCCGACAATGCAGTAGCTTTGGCCTTCGGAGATCACAGGCTTTGTAAGAACACTACAATAAAGTTGTTTCTATCCATTGTAAGAACATTTTGCAGACGCACTGGGGTTTCATTCATGTGCGTTTGGTCAGTCACACGTGAACTGTGCAAAAAGATTTAGTTCCACTCACGGTCTTTTATTAAAAGCGATGATTTTGAAGAGGTAACAGTGTCGGAAATAGCACGAGTATCTCTCCCTATTTTGCTACATTAGTCATTAAAATAATACATAAAGTATCACCCAAGGATCTACTTGCAATAGATGACCACTCCATTGGAAATTCGTGGATACAACCTTAGCGGAGGATCGCGAAAATATTTCGTTTATTAAAGAACATGGAACTGGATTTACTCAAGATGAAGTTAGGTCTGTTTCACTCACATCTAATCTTGTAAAACTAATCCAAAGAATTCTACATAGTAGAGTAGACAACTGATTGGACTAAAACATAATTTTTAGCCCATTCCAAGTTAGATTCAGGCGTAGCTGCTCCATTTGTTTGCCTATGCTGATTTTATAAGCAGGATACAACTAGCTCGTTCTAAGAAGCTTGTTGCCGCCTTAGTAACTCTAGATATTGCTAAAGCTTATGACAATGTGAAACACGGGAAACTATAGAATTCGCTTACACATGTAGGTTTACCAAACTACTTCATTGCAATAGTTTACTCATTCTCAGAGACTTCTATTGCTCTCAATCTGGTGTGTTTGGTGTTATCATTATACTGGTTCGGTATTGTCACTGTTGCAGAAACGAGACGAGACTAGCGTGGACTGCATTCGATGCGAACAGCAAGAATCTTCTTTTTTTTTTTTGCTTATTAACCATGCGCTCTTCGGTGCTCCTTGGCTTCTTCTTCTCCTTGTCCTTCGGCGAGTTTTATAGTTTCTGGCCCACATGAAGTTTTGTTGTCCTCATTGGAAACAACCTTCAAGTTGGTAGATACGCTGTACAAGTCTTCGAATGAGTTTTCCATTGGTTTTCAAAAAGCAGGAATATGTCTTTCCATCGACTTCTGAATAATTTCCATGATTTTGGCCAGGTTCTAAAGTGATCTAGGAGTGCATGAATCAAGCAATGCGATGTCTCCTCGGTTCACTCTCCTTTCTTGTTCACTTGCGTAAGCTTGCTCTCTCAATTCCTTCAGATATTCCTTGTTCCATCTTTTCCACCAATCTTTCATGAGATTTTGCCGCTTCTATAGATTTCTTCAATGTTGACTTCGTGTTGATCTTCGTCATTGCCAGCAAGTCTGTATTTTCCACCTATTATGTCAGCTGGCACAATAGATAGCGGCTCATCTGGTTCGCTGTATGCATAAGTTAACAGCCTGTTCAGCACTGTTTTAGCTTCAGTGGTTATTGTTTCCATCTCTTCTCTGGTTAGCAGTCTCCTTTCGATGACTTTCCTCATTGATGATTTCATGCTTCGTATTATTCTTTCATAGAATAGAAGCCTGCTCTCCAAGGTGCTTGTTCGGAGATAAACTTCCACTTTATTTTATTGTTTTGGTTAGCTCTTCTAGAGACTTCTTCTTGTAACTCCTTCAGCATACGATTGATTTCTTTGTTGGCTTTCTTGAATGTCCTTGCGTTGTCACTATATATTGTACGACATAAGCCTCTTCTCGCTGTAAATCTTTTGAATGCTTGTAAGAATGCTTTTGTTTTACAGCAGTCGACAGCTTTGAGATGTACAGCTTTTGTTGTTGCACACACGAATACTGCGATTTATAGTTTTGTTATGCCTTTCACGGCGTCTTTTATAAGCATCGGGCCTGTAAAATCTACACCAGTCACTTCAAATAGTTGTCGGTGGTTTACTCTGTCAGCAGGCAGAGGTGCTGTGTCTTGCTTAATTGGTTTAGCATCAAATTGTTGACACTTTAAACATCCATGAATAACCTTCTTCATCAGCTGCCTTCCTTGGGTTATCCAATATTTCATTCAAAGCTGCGACAGTGTTGCACTAACTCCTCCATGCAACGCTAGTTGATGCACATGTACTAGCAGCTTTGTAGCAGTTGCCACTTTGTAGCACGATTGTATGTTTTTCGTTGTACGTCAGTTCACTTTGAGACAGACGATCCTTGTGCCTTATTAGTCCTTGTTCATCCTCAAAGACTTCCCTACCACAAAGAAACATCCTTGTTGTCTTAGTCGTATTACTCTTGTTGAGTATAATATGTTCCCATATTATACTCAACAATGTGTGCTCCAATTTTATTATCCTTGTCTCTGCATTCTTTAGTTCCTCAAAACTCAGATCGCCGATTATCCGCTTCTCTCTTATAATTTTTATGTATCTAAGAACCCAAGCTGTTAATCTGAGCAATCTTATGTAGGTTCCATACTTCTCTGCGACGATCACGACCGTAACTGACGTGTATATATTCGTTGCATAACATTCACTACTCTCACTGTCTTCTTCCGTTTCCGTAAGCCCTGTAGTCTTGTTTTCCATAACAAGCCACTTTGGACCATGCCACCATAGGTCCGACTGTATCAAAGCCTTTGCGTTTACACCTCTGGTATGAGATCAGCTGGGTTCTCTCCACTTGCAATGTATTTCCACTCTGACAGCTTCGTTTTCTCTTTTATCCCCTTCACCCTATTTTCTACAAATGTGTCTCGTTATTTCTTTCCGTGTAGCCAAGTAAGAACAATGGTCGAGTTCGTCCAGTATCTTGTAGCATTTATATTTCTTACAAATCCGTTTCTGACGTAATTAGAAATGCATGCAGACAGCAACGCAGCCATCAACTCAACTCGTAGTAACGAGATTTGCTTCATTGGCGCTATCCTTCCTTTTCCATTAGTATTTCAGCCTCCTTTTTCTTCTCGTAGTGACTTATCAAATAGGCCGCTGTTCTGTATGCATATGGACTTGCATCTGAAAACAAGTGAACTTCCGTGTGAATAGGCTTCCTCCTTTGTCTTACATCAACCATCGTGGTACATTGAGCTCTTGAATCAATTACAGCTCTTTAATCCATCTCTTCCAAGTCGTGAGGTGCTGGTAAGGAGACCTATTCAAACAGTTAAAATAGAAATCTACGATATGTTTCCTAACAATTGCTAAAATCTTCCCAGTAGGTACCTGAATGCCATTTTGAAAGACCACCTGGCAAGATTAAAATTAAAGATTGTAATAGTAGCTGATGCTCAGTTTGTAAAGAAAAGGTAGGCGGGGGAATCGCATATTCAGTATTGAGTTGGTCTTTTTTCAAATAATTTACCTTATTTCACACTATTTACCAAATAAAATTACTTCCAATTGTCTTAGCATTACGGAAATCGCCTCTATTCATAACAGATGCTGTCATTCATACAGAGTGCCTGTTTGTCTGTTCATTAACTGCACCGAATATGTAAAATGCTATAGAAGTGTTTTGTGCCCTCGCCCCACGACCTTTGCATCTAATTCGATTGGTATGGGTTCCAGGTAATAAAGGTTTAACCCTCAATGAATATGCAGATGCGCTTGCGGGAGCCTCACATTATGGTCCAGTTAATTCTATATTGCTGATGCTACCATTTATTGCCGTGGCACGATTTGAAAAATTTTATCGATGGTGCTTCTCTAGAAGGGCAGAAATATCAATTACGAGATTATGATTCCGAGTCCTCTCAATGAATTTTCACCTGTGTAGGTCTCGTATCGTTAAATTGCCCTTATGCTTCCACTGCAACGAGAGTGAATCTCTGCATCATTTCCTCTTAAAATGCAAGCTATTTGCAAATCGAAGGAAAAGACTGTTAGGAGAACCTCTCTGTAGGTTGAAACATCCCTCCGGTGGTATTTTCCTTTGGAGCAACTGAAGAAGGCTTTAGCCACAGGAATGTTTGCGAAGCCCTATGCAATTTTCAAAAACAAACAAAACGAGTAGAACATTAAGCTTAAGTATAAATTCACTTATTTCCAGCCCTATTAGTTTATTGGGCTTTCTTTTTATTTTGCTTTATTTATTATATTTTTAATTAGTGTTTTACCAATTTGTTTTTAATCCCTATCTAAAGGTATTTGGCTGGTAAAACAATTTTCTTCCTAAGATGAGATGACGCCCGTTTCGTGGCTGATCCCCTGTAGTTGCGCCAGCCAACCAATCCGTTGAGGCACACGAAAGACGCCATCATTAGTGTGACCGCGTCTCGCAGGCGTGGAGCAGTGGTCGCAGCAGCTGGTCAGGAGCACGGAATGCGGCAGGCCCAGCGTCGAGCCAACCTCGAGCTCGCCGACCGTATCGTCGCAGGACAGGAGGCGGTGCCACACAGCTGGCCCTGGCAGGTATATGTGTCACTCTGTACATCTGGGTATTCGCTACGGTAGCTTTTTCTTTTTTTGACACGAAGGTGTTTTATGCCGGGGTCCACCAAGATTTCAGTGACTTATTTCTGTCATGGAAATAGCGTCAAAGAATACACAAAAAAATTTTGCAACGGGAGTCGAGCCCATAATCGTGGCTCCGCCACTACAGATGCCGGGCACACCATCCACTGCACCATGGTCACGTTTTAGGGGCGAAGCTCCTTATGGCGTGGCTTGTGCGTCCCTCGTAGTACGTAACCACCAGTGGCACATACCCGAAATACGTATAACATTTGACCTCCAAGGTGGTGCCGGTGAGAGATTTCTTCTGTGCGTTGTTTAACAATAAAAAATAGTGCTCAATGTACATGCCAATGGTTGCTAATGGAAAATGAGAAACAGGAGCATTCGGCTTTTAGTCAACGCGCACGCTGCGATTCCATAGCAGCCATTAGCATGTACATTGAGCACTATCATACAAGAAAGGGTTGCTACATTATACTCGCTGGGTGTAACCTCCTTAGTTTTAGAAAGGTTTAGCGAGCGTTGAGTCGCAGGGCCATGAATACAATGAACTAGTATATACCATGAATGAATTCGAGGTGGTTAAAGGGGGGAAGCAGATACGAAGCGCAAGCCATAAGAAATTAAAAGCTGAATCCTCCTGTCTCTCATTTCACATTAGCAGCCACTGGCATGTACATTGAGCACTATCTGACAGGAAAAGGTTGCTACGTTAGGCTCGCTGGGCGTAACCTCCTTGGTTTTAGAAAGGTTTAGCGAGCATTGGGCCACAGTGCCATGAATACAGTGAACTAGTATATACCATGATTTCAAGGTGGTTGAAGGTGGGTAGTAGACCCGAAGCGCAAGCCGTAAGAAAGTGTGCGTGTGCCACCTCTCGTTTAGTCCTTGAATGTCCACTGAATGGCGGTGCTTCTATATGGGGAATATATAATAAAAAGATGCGAGATGGTGGGACTTGGAGTGTTGAATAGATGGACGAACGGACACACAGACAGATGCATGGATGGACACATGAACGGACGCAGGGGCGGATGCATGAACGAACGCAGGGACGGGCGCACGAACAGACGCGTGGACGGTCACACAGACGGACGCATGGACGGACGAATGCTTCGCCCCACTCTCCATCATTCACTCCGTGGATATGCTGGCATTTTTTTTCTTTATTGCAATGTTAATACATTTTATGCATAGACACATATGTCACACATCACCCACCAGCATGCATAAGGCTGGTTGTATTTACTTATGCACCTTTAATTCTTACAATGTATCTAATATACCAGATATTTCATCGCTTCTCCTCGGTGCTCCAGCACTTTTTCTAGCTTCGTGATCTGTTCAACAAAATGTGCATTAACCAATCTCACTTATGCGCCACAATCACATAGTTTTTAGGCTTTAAAAATACGGCTCTTCTATCTACCAATGTCCTCTCACAGCGTTCTTGTTAAAGCGCAGTAATGCATCATGACCGTGACATCTGCGATTAGTTCCTCCGACGCGTTATTTCTAAGCGCTCGTCCCATTCGGCTCGTTTCTAATAGCAAAAGTGCAATTTGTCAGCGCGGCGACTTTTACCACGAGCATCGGCTTCGCTCATAGCATCCACCCATACCAAACATATATCTCTGAAACCTCTTTGTCTGAAAGTGTCTGAGACCTCTGAAATGCGCCTGTTTCGCCTAGATATAGCTCTGTGTTACCCATAAAAGGCTGCATAAAAGGCGAAAAAAATGGCAGTTCGCTCCCTCCGCGACGATCTGCGGCAAACTACGAACATGTTGGAAATTTTCGCTCTGATCACACCGGCGGAAGGGATTTTTGGTCAGGACCCATCGAAATAGGGTTGGGCCAGCCAAGCCGTCGAAATTTCGTCGACGCGTTTGTTTTGGCAATGGCCGATTCTGTGCATTTTAAATTTATTTTAAATTGGAAAGTGTTCCTAAATGATGAAACAAGTGGGCCCTTCATTAATGTTCATGGAAACTTAATGATATATGACACAGATCATTACATTACATTCGTTTCTGCCACAAAGAACGGTGGCAAGAACTCACCGCTCCAGTCGCAGAGCGAAAGTTGTGGGCAATGCAGACCATGCGAAATGAAACCACCCTTAGCGGCGGTTGTGAACAGAGCGAACAGAACGATTTTTTTCGCTGCAATTGTGGCATGTGAAACATCCTTTACGCTCACTTCGCAAATAATTGTGGCAGCACAAACGCAAGACACGACGCGCGTTGTGTTTCTTTCTGGTCGGGCAGTGGTAGCCAACATGCCACGGGTTAAAAACAGTGGACATAGGGTGAAGAAGATGAAGAGAAAGACGAGGAATGCGGGTGGCACGTGAGGGGGTTCTTAGGTCTACGCTGCAATAAACGGACATTGAGACACTCTGCTCTTCATCTCCAGGCGTATTAGTCCTTTGAAGCCGGTGTCTATGAAAGAAGTTTTCGAATTTTACATTGGTGCTGAAACCTGACCCGGTTTCAAGAAGAACCATGAAACGCCTCAGAAACACGAGAACAGCTAGAAAGCTACACAACACCAAGATCAACAATGCGGTTGATGAGCTACCAGCCTCCAATGAATTGACTTGATGGGGCTTCGCAGAATTTTTTCAGTGCCTGGAGAAAAGCACCGACAAGCTCACCAAGGCTAACGAAGCACTGCACGCCCACATAACGGATGACGAGGTGCTGGATGACATAGACTAGGTGCTAGAGTACGAGTACCGAACTGCAAGGAGCGTTGCCTTCTTAAACATCACATCCAGGAGCTGGCTGTCTGAACATCAGGGCCGGCCAGGTACAACGGTGAGTTGCCAACCGACTCTTCTCTGCCGCGTCAAGCAGCCCAGTCAGATATTTCTGGTGGCACAGGAGCAAGGCTTCCTAAGCTAGACCTAATGAGATTCGACGGGTCCCCCATGAAATGGCTACCATTTTGGGACCTCTGTCGACACTCCGTACATGAGAACCCATGTCTCAATAACGTCGATCGATTTCACTTCCTCCGATCTCTTCCCGACGGCCCTGCGGCGAAGGCTATTGTAGGCGTACCGACAACAGACAACAGTTATGATGACGCCGTTTCTATGCTTGAAAGAGCGGTTTGAAGACGTGCGCATGACTGAGCAGAGGCATCTTAAAAATCTTCGCACTCTACGGTCCCGTCACTACGTCGGCGATGCTAGTGCCCTGAGAAGCCTTTATGACTTTTGTTCAAATCAACATAAGAGGACTCAAAGGCCTCGACATCTTGGAATCCTACTACTCTGCCATGTTGTGCGAGGTACTAATGAAAGCGATTCCACAAGACATAATGGTGGAATATCACCGATAACGGCGACTTGAAGTGACAAGTGTGAACGACCCGCCGAGATCAGAAGAACTTCGACAATTGCTCAAGTACCTGCGCATCGAGGTCGAGTGCAGGGAGCAGGCCACCTACCAATGACGGATGTCGCACAGCAATGAACTACAGACCTCCGGCAGCCACAAGAATCAGCCTATGGCATCAGTGGCAGTTCTCAACAGTGCCGTTACAAAGGAGGCGTGCCTTTTTTGCCAGAAATCACACCCAACGTTTAACTGCGATGCATCGCTTTCTGACTCGGTGATAAGCCTATTCTGTCGACGACTGGCTGCTGCTTCAGATGTACCACAAAAGGACATCGAGCAAGAGACTGTTGACGGAAGATGAGCTTTTCACATTGTCAAGGAAGACACGCTTCTTCGATGTGCTATAGACAGGCTAGTACAGATGTTGAAATAATGACGCCACTACAACACGCTACGAGCAGTACCTCCATGTACGCTCTGTCAGATAGCAATAGGAGCCTTGATGCAATACTATTGCAAACCTTCAGAGGATGGATGAAAGACGCAAAGGGGAGCTGCTATTTAAGAGGCATCATGGATAATGGTAGCCAGCACACTTTCATTCAAGAAGATGTTTTAAGGAAATTGAACCTGTAGGTGTTAGGAGAAATCGACATTACCGTCAATGTGTTTGGAAACAAACATGGTCGCTTTGCACGTCGGAGACTAGTCAAAGTAACTCTACAAAGCCTATACGATAATATTCAGCATGTCATGGAAGCAATAGAAATCGAGCACACCTGTGAAGTGGTTGCTGAAGTACAAGACCATGAATTTATTAAAGAGTTGCGAAATCGTCGTCAACAATTAGCTGATGCACTTTGCTTTTCGCATATCACCCAGGAAGAAGGCATTAGCTTATTAATTGGCTCAGACCGATTGGGAAAGATTCTTGGGAGCGAAGTCACTTGGAATAAAGATAGCAAAAGTCTTTTTTCCATTCAGACGACACTGAGTTGGACAGTACAAGGACCCTGAAATGATGTAACTATTCTTCTTCTCACAAACGCCAACGTTTGTGTATTACGGACAAGTCGTTGCATGAGCGACACCCTGATGCAAGAACGCATAAGCTCAGAACTACGAAAGTTCTGGTAGCTCGAAAGCTTCGGGATCACAGATGCAGATGAACCATCCTCCCACGATAAGCAGGTGCTAAAAGCTTTCAATGAAACTATTGAGCTGCGAGACGAAAGGTACGAAGTCTGTCTGCCTTGGAAAGACAGGCAATCAGACCTGCATGATAATCGTGCGGTAGCAATCAAGCGACTTTGCTGCTTACTTCACCAGTTGTCTCAGAGCAAAGAAGTACTGCTTCACTACGATGTAGCAGTCAGGCAGTACCTTACTGTTGGTCATGCTGAGCCAGTTCCCGCCATCAAGGGTGTGACCACCACTAAATATTACATGCCCCATCGGGAAGTAATTAGAACAACGTCCACCACAACGAAACTCCGAATTGTCTTCAATGCCTCGTCTCATGCCTCAGGAGTGACTTCATTCAATGACCATTTGAAAAAGGCCCGAACCTGAGCAACGATATGTTGAAGACGTTACTGCGTTTTCGTCAGCATCAGTTCGGCGTCGCGGCTGACGTGCAGAAAGCATTTCTGCAGATTGGAATTAAGCCGAGTGACACTCTGAGATTCCTGTTGTTTGAAAGAACACCAACAGGAGTGCAGGACATGAATCCCGTTTGCGAATACCGCATGACTCGAGTGCCCTTTGGCACTACGGCAAGCCCTTTCTTACTGAGTGTGACATTGCAGTATCATCTGCAGAGCGTATCTGGAAAGTATCGCCAGGCAGCTGAGAAGTTGATGCGTTGCTTTTACGTAGATGACATGGTCACCAGTGTTCCTACCGCATCGGACGCTTTTAAGCTCTACGACCAAGCTACAGAAATCTTCGCGAAAGCTGGAATGAAGTTACATAACTGACGCAATGGAAATCACTTCTTCTAAATGCTATTTTTGGACCGATTCAACAGTGGCTTTGGGTTGGATCGGAGGCATCCCTTCAAGGTGGCAGCAGTTTGTAAAAAACAGAGTAACAGAAATCCCAAACCTCTCTGACTCTTGCCAATGGAACTATTGTTCTAGAAAAGAGAACCCAGCGGACCTAGTTTCCCGGGGCACATGGGTGAAAAATCTAATTTACATGGAGATTTGGTGGAGAGGACCAGTTTGGTTGGCCAGAAGCGAAGAATGGCCTAAGCACACGAATACTTATCTGAATGCTCTTAAAGATGATCTAAAAGGGAAGTCCGAAGTAGTCATCATTACGCTCTACTCGTCCTCGACATCGGTGAACGCTGTTTTGGACCTATCAAAGTGTAGTTCCTGGTTGCGGGAGCTACGCGTCACGGCTTGGATAGAGAGGTTTGTCGCAGCCTGCTTTGACCGGCCAACCCCTCAGGGACACCTACTAACGGAGGAGCTTATCGCCTCTGAAAGGTATTGACTGTCCATTATTCAAAGCAACAATTTGGCCCTGAATTAGCAGCCCTCCAGTCTGGTTGAGATCTACCCAAGGTGTCAACAATTTGGGATTTGCACCCCTCTCTTGCGGAAGAGGAGGGATTGCTGAAAATGCACACAAGGCTTCGGAATCTCACGTACCGCGAAGGCATCAAACACGCAATTCTGCTTCCCGGTGACCATATCGTCACTGAACTCATTGCCACCGGCTTACACCTGATGCTTCTGCCCGCAGGAGTTGCAACAACCATCGCAGAACTCTGAGAGCGCTTCTGGATGACGAAGGCGAAGCAGTGTGTGAAAAGAGTGATCGGGCGGTGTACATGGTGCGCGCGATTAAGGGTGAAGCCTGCGACAGCTCCTATGGCAGCGCTACCTACTGACCAAGTGAATGTGTCCAAACCGTTTGACATTACTGGTGTAGATTTTATGGGACCAGTGTACTTAAAAAGTGAGCCAACACAGAAACGGTAATACGTGCTGTTCATCTAAAGCTTGGTTTACGTTCCACATCAGACTGTTTCTTAGAAGCCTTTCGACGTTTCACTGCACGTCGTGGATTCCTTCAGTGATTTACTCTGACAATGCTTTGTGCTTTAAACGTGCTTTTCGCACACTTCGTGCTGTGTATGACACTACTAGAGAAAGTGAAGTCGGCAATTATCTGTCTGCTCATAGGATCACATGGAAATTCTCTGCTGACCGTGCTCCTTGGTGAGGCGGATTTCGGTAGTGCATTATGAGGTCAGTGAAAGACAACTTAAGAAAAGCTCTTCTAGATTTAGAAGGTCTCTTCTAGATTATGGGCAAATGAGCATGGTCAGCAGAAATTGAAGCGATCATAAATAGCAGATTGTTGACGTACTTGTATTCTGCGCCAGAGGAACCAGATGTCTTAACACCTGCCCATTTCTTACATGGCAAGCGATTGACGGCGCTCCCCGACTTGCAAACTGCAGACGTGGTGCCCAGCTCCCATACGGAGCTTCTTAAAACTTGGATACAGCGACAAAAGCTGCAGAAAGATTTCTGAAATCGCTGGTATAAGGAATATTATTACTTCTTAGAAGCGCTCATAATAGACTAGTGGCGGACATTACTAGTATTGCATAAAGCAATATAATGATAATGCGCGACGATGCTCTGCCCAAGTTGTGTTGGAAACTTGCACGCGTTCTGAAAAACATTACAGGACACGACGACATTGTTCGTGCATGTTGCCTAAAGTTAGCAGGCGGCAAAATTGTAACGCGGTTTATTCAACATTTGTGTTTCCTAGAAATGTGCCCGCAGCAATTCGAGGGCCGGGAGCGTTAAAAACAGTGGACATAAGGTGGAGGAGATGAAGAGAAAGACAAGGAATGCGGGTGGGAGGTGAGGGGGTTCTTGGATCTACGCTGCAATAAACGAACATCGAGACGCTCTGCTCTTCATCTCCAGGTGTATTAATCCTTTGAAGCCGGTTTTCTATGAAACAAGTCTTTGGAATTTACGCCGCGAGTAGGCAACTTTAGCCCAGGTTTAATGTTCAGTCAGTCATGCTTTTCTGGCTGTCACATCGCTTCATCTGGTTTTGATCTCACCGTTAGCTCCTACCACAAGCATTTATGACCTCAAGCGTTTGTTTATGGATGTTACTTGTCTGGATGTAGATGTATGAATAAGTGTCAGCGTGGATGCGTCATCCTTAGGCATTGCATTAGCTTTCAAACACCAATGGACATTGGGCACACTCTTTTTTATCAATTTACATTAAACTTTTTCTGTAAGGACACATCCGACTTTCAGGTTTTATCGATTCCTATGACAGAGGGATGAACCATGTTTTTTTTTGTGCTTTTTTGCATTTTTAGCTTCTTTTAGGCCCAGGTTCTTAGGTCATTTTATGCAGTCTTGCTATAGCGCTGTTTCGGTCGGAATCAGGGATTCGTGTATGCGACTGACGTTTACAACTGCAGTACGCAGCTTAGTTTGAGCATGAAGATAAGGGGCGAAAGCAAAGAAGGGAAGCGCAGGCACCATAATTAAGCGCAAGCCTTCTAACTCGTGTTTATTATAAGACCCTACAACTTGCTCAATCCTCAGTACTTGCGTGTTTACAGTCTGTGGGCTGTATACGTCCAGTCTGAGTATGTAATTGTCGTATGCAATTGTCATACATAGTCCGAGTATGTAATTCCCACGACTGAGCTGCTCTGTGACGCTCACACTCATACGACACTATAGGTTGAGAGAAATTAATAAATTTTAGTCATATATGGATGGTTTGCCAAGTAAACTCAAGAGTCTAAAAACGTGGTAAGTTTATTGGCATTGCCTTTAAACTGGCTGGTGGCAAGATTTTTATTGAAAATTTAAATTCATTGCTTGCATCTCGTTTCGAATGAAGCCCGTATTATACCATGTTCTCGTTACGATAGCCGTTATGTGAACACTCAAGGCGTATTACTGCCTTCCCCATTAAGTCCAAGTTTGTGACACCTCTGCTCTTGTTGTATGCTCTACGTGCGAGCGAATGCTGAAGGCGACCGCGGCTGATACAGTCACAGGTCATGCCAGCCGGATTCGTCGGGTAGGGGGCTGCTCAGCTCGGGCAGATTCCTAGAATACGACTCTGTCGTAAGTGGCGCATCAAATATGCACAATTTCGTTCTCTCTTTTAGATGCGAAGCAGCTCTTTGACTATCCTTTGTAACGCTGTTCTTCCGTGCAAACGTGCCACATGCCGCAGGTGTTGGTGTGTTGCCAAATAGGCCGCTACCGTGCGTGGCATTGCACGCTCGAGGCACTCTAACACAGCGCCTCCAGAATACCATTCAACAATTTTATTGCGCAGAAAATCAAATAAATGTTTTGTTCACTCTCTCCACACGCAAAAATATCGTCTTTCGACATCATTTGCAGATTAACATGCAGATACGGTGCCTTTTTTTTTTTCCTTCGCTCTTCTCATTGCATAAACTTTCCCATGAGTTTTTTTTTTATTGTCTGCAGCTGCTGCAGACGCTGCAGGTTACCTTCTTGCCAGCAAATGTATATACTAATATGACGCAGTAAAATGTTTCAGTTTAGAGTATTGCGCTTAATACCGACGTTTTGCCTGTGCTTTTTTATTATTAGTGCTATAAATAATAATGGGCGGTTTTGACGAGCTGATCTGCCCAATGCAGGCGAGTGTCCAGTTGAAGAACTTCTGGCCGGCAGCCCACTTCTGTGGAGGAGCACTCTTACGCAACGACCTCGTCATCACGGCGGCTCACTGCGTTCAGGGGCAAGTGCTATGATTTACGCACGCCAAAATCTTCGCGCGTGACGTCACAGACTACAAAGTGTATTAACCAATATTGTGTGCCATTGTGTAAAAAAAATTTACTCAAACTTACTATGCTAAGCTTATAAGGCACCCTCATGAGGATAGGGTACTTCATTTTTACCGATTGGGAACTACGTAGGTCCTTGTAGAGGCCATCAAAATATGTGACATCACAGCAAATGGTGTGGAAACCTGTAGATGGCGTGGCTGCTTGAATTTGCTTTTTTCATGTTTTCGCGCTTCTCGCCGCCAGTAGAGTGTTTTTAGGAGAGTGAAAGATCATTTCAATAATAAGAAATATGTATTTTCGCTCTTTAGTATCTCCAAAAAAAAAAACAATGAACCAAGCCTCGAGAGCCTTTCACAGTGACAAGAGCAAAACGCCATCTCTTCAGTTAAGGAATTGTCTTCACAAGTTTTGCCACATGTGCTTTTCACGTGTTTTTTTTTTTTTTTACCGGACCGTGCAGATTTGAAGCTTGTTCAGTATGTGGCTGTCCATAAAATGAACAAGTTGTTACATAGCATTTGTTTATGTGTCCTGTTCTTTGTTTTGGTGTGCTTCCTTGAAAACTGTTAAGATGAATCTGTTCCAACGAGGCAGAATCACGCCTCGCTGTGGTGGTCTAGCAGCTAAGGTATTCAGCTGCTGACCCGTAGGCCGGGGAGATCGAATCCAGACTGTGCAGCTGCAAGTTTCAGCAGAAGCGAAAATGCTGTAGGTCCGGTGCTCAGACTTGGGTGCACTTTCAAGAACCCCAGGTGGTCGAATTTCGGGAGCCCTTCGCTATGGCTTTATTTATAATAATATGGTGCTTTTGGGACGTTGAACTCCATATATCAATTAAGGCAGAATCACAGTAAAGCAGGGTAGAATACATATGCTTTAAGAAAAATACAAATACAGCAAATACATCGCTTATAAGAATAATTACATTTTTATGCTACTCCACATACAAATACAGCATGTATGCAAAACATCAGGTAAATAAATAAAACTCGGTGGAAAAAAATGAGGGTATTATGAAAAAGGTCATATTGCAAATCGGAATGTAATTGGACAGGTAGTTGTACCAAATGAACACAGTGAGGTTTAGTAGCTTTGGTGTTGGATTTTTTTTTGTCACAGTCCTGGAAAAGAAGAAATGTTTGAAACAAAGTTTTTTTATGCAGAATGGAGTAATTTCTGGGGTGATTCCTCTCTTCTGCAATACTGAGAAAAAAGTAATTATATTGGCAATCGTGATGTTTTCTTAATAACCTAAAATTAGAATTTTAATCGGGAAAGAATGACCGCATTTCGCAAGTGCAGGCGTCTTGCTTAGTTCGAAAATTTTGATGCTTACAATTTAGCGCAATAGATAAGGTGCATAATGTCAGCACAAGCAAGGAAAGGGCACAAAAAAGTCATAGAGGCTGATCTCCTGCCACGGTGTTCGTTGAAGGATAAAATGCTTAAAGCCTGTGTGTTTAGGTTTAGGTGCACGTTGAAGAACCTCAGTGGTCGAAATTTTTTGACCCGTCCACTAACGATGTCTCTCATAGACATATGGTGGTTATTATGAATTTATTATTATGGTGGTTAATTATGAATATTATTATTATTAATGAACTTCGTGACTCACGGCGTAGTGCAATGCAGATATTTACAGAGAGTTTTGGCAAGTGGCTTTGCAGTTGGCATTGTTCGTCTTATCGCTGCGAATATATACTGTAGAGCACTACGATACGCTGATAGTTTTATTGTTAGCTTGCCTGCGGTGGAGTTTCAGCATTCACGGATGAGAGGGCGATAACAATTTATAACGATTGTGACACTGCCTGATATGAATTCCGAGTGCAGCTTCATGTCGGCCAAATGTGGTTGTAGTTATGGCTTTAGGAAAAGTATCCACTGTAGCATAAATCATAATTTTGTAAAGCAGGACAACTATGCCATTATTCGTCTTCCTGCAGACAAGCTGGACACCCGCGCCACTCATCTGTTATGTGCACTCTGCTGCATGTGGCCCATGACGAGTTACGGTTGAGTGCTTACATTTGCAGTGGGTGGGAAGCACTAAACTGCACACATACGTTCCACAATTCGCATTGTGCAATGTCATCTTGCTCTTCTGCCACGCGATATTGCATAGGTTAACGCGATTCCTTGTCCGACAGGACGCCCGTACATGGCCTTTATGCAAATAAGTTTTAAGCACTGGTGAAGCTCGCTGACACAGAGCCACACTGGTGCTTGAAACTCATCTGTTAGACAATAAGAAAGACCCTTTAAATTTCCAACTATGCAGTCTTGGCCAATCCACAACAGCGGGTATGTCTCAAGGAGAAGTAAACAAAAACAAACAAAAAACAGCGTTATCTGTCGACTTCCATGCAGAGGCCCTCGGTTCAAATACCATTGGATGCTCGATATTGTTTTTTGTCATTTTTTTCTGTGTGTAGCTGTTACACTACCAAGGCTCAACACAGATGCCTCTCTAAAAGCTAAACGCCTGAGTTTTCGACTTACCCGCCGCAGTGGTCTAGTGGCTAGGTACTCGGCTGCTTACCCGCAGGTCTCGGGATCGAATACCAGCTGTGGCAGCTGCATTTCTAAAGGAGGCGGAAATGTTGTAGGCCCGTGTGCTCAGATTTGGTGCACGATAAAGAACCCAGGGGTCGAAATTTCCGGAGCCCTCCATTACGGCGTCTCTCATAATCATATGGTGGTTTTGAGACATTAAACCCCACATATCAATCAATGAGTTATGACTCCTGGTAAAACAGAACCTTGGGCCGCGAGGTGCCAGATGCAGCTAAGTGTTAAACGCTGTTTCTATTCTTTGCAGGCAGCGTCCTGTGCGACCTCGTGATTAAACTCGGCAGTCATAATCTCGTGGACAATGACCCCAGCGTGCAGGTCAGGAGAGTCTCCACCTACGCAATACATGGCGTAAGTCTCTGGTCACATCGTGTAGATAGGCGTGTTAAAACTCTTATATTTCAGTGCCAGCAGTGTACACAAGTAAATAAATAAATATATTTAATTCCAGCTATCTCCACTCGCGAACACTGCGGAAACAGCTAACTTATCAGCTCGTCCTTCATCATATAGTTGTTGTATACACTACTTTGAAGGTAGCATATACAGTATATTCTACCTTAAAGGCAGAATATACAGTAACTTGAGCCTCTCTGAGTGCGAACATCACAGTTGGCTCGGCCGACGATCGACATGCCCATTCTCACGTCGACACACGTTCACGTGGGAAGCGGCTTCCTCATTCAGTCGTTCCATATCGGTTTCACTGCAGCCTCGCGAGCATGTGCTGCTTTGGGATACACTGCCCTGCATTTTTTACGTGTCGCTGCAGCTTCTCTGGCACCGGGTCAGCTTGTCTGTGTTCACGTCACACTGCAACTACGTCTCTTCCAAAGCGGTGTTTTCGTCGAGCTTCAGCTTCTCTTGCACAAAGTTCAGGGTCAGCGCCGCTGCCGTTTCGCGGTGTCCAATTTGTGGACATGTCTACTTCAGTGTAGTATGCTCTTGACCACGTTGCGCTAGGAAAGTTTTTCTAGTGTCGTGAACGAGTCTGAAAATTTTACGATACAGCCTCCAAAGGCGCAGCCGCTCGCTCATGCGTGTTGATCGCACGCGTCAGCATACGCCTTGTCGAGTTTCTCGCATTGAAACCAAGTATTGTGGTTAAAGTAGAAGCGCGTTGTGTTCACTACGCATGGAGCCGATAAATTGTAAAGAAAAAAATTCGCAGCATATCCAAGGAGTGAATGATGATGAGTGGGCTGAAGCATCCGTCCATCTGTGCATCCATCCATGTGTCTGACCAAGTATGATCCGTCAAGCGCACTCCACGTACGGCGGAAATCCAGGATAATGAGATATAACGGAAGCAGTGATGGCACTCGCACCCTGCGCAGCAGCCAATCGGAGAACCGTGGCATCTCCACCGCCATCTTGTGTACATTCGCCCAACCGCCATATTGCATGTATCTCTATCGGACAGCGCCATCTAGGAAACTAGACAAAACATGGCCATGATGACGTAGAATGTGTACAGCGCCATTTAGGATAATGTCACGCAACTGCACTTTGCGTGCATCTCTATGGGACAGCGCCGTCCATTTAATGGTATGGGAGATGCTACTGAGTTGGCACGCTGGCTTGTGCGACGCCGATCGACGGCTGACCAGGAGATGTTATAAGAGGCTTCGCCCCTAAAAAGAGGTCTGGGGACTATGCCGGCAGGTTAGTCTTCAAAAACGCCACATGCTGGCGGCGTATAGTGTAGTGCGCAAAGAACATATAAGTAGAATATTCGTGGTTTCAGTTTAACAACATTATTTTTCACACAGTCATGTACGAGTACAATAATAAAAATACTCAAACAAATATGGTGTTTACATCAGGCACATAACTATAATAAACAGTGAGAAAGATGCAAAGGCAGCCATTTTGGTACAGACTGTGAGTATACAGTGCGAGAAAAAGAAATGTGCATATCGATTAAACGCATGCGAAAGCAGTGGAAATCAGTAAAACTGAAGTCCTTTGCCTCTGTAGCAATTCACAACGCAACAGAGGCATCGACTGGGGTCTTTTTTCGTAGAGCGTGGAGTTGCTGCGTCTGCTCTGGTTTTCGTCCTTTGCTCTTGTCTGTCCATCTGTCCGTGCGTCTGTCCGTCCATCTGTCCGTGCGTCTGTCCGTCCATCTGTCTGTCTGTCTGTCTGTCTGTCTGTCTGTCTGTCTGTCTGTCTGTCTGTCTGTCTGTCTGTCTGTCTGTCTGTCTGTCTGTCTGTCTGTCTGTCCGTGCATCTAGTGAACACTCCAAAAACTGCCATTTCTCATCTTTTCATCATATTGTTACGTTTGAAAGAGACTGGTAGACGTTGAAAGGGGCTGTTTATTAGGTCGTGAGGGGCAGCTCAGAAGCAGCCAACTGGTTAAATATCCTCCTGATCCTCTTCTTCCTCTCTCACTCTGGGCGACAAGTGCATTCACCGTATACGCTTCTTTGTCTTCGTGCATGTACGCAACATTCCTCTCCGCGCAGACGAAGGCCGCCGGACGAGTCAGTCGAGTTGTCGTGGCGTGTACAGTTTCAGGCGGGCAACATGAACCACTTGAGTTTTGGCAGCTCGTCGACCACTCGCCGTGAGACGAGCTATTACATAGTTGACCTCTGTAAGTCTGTCAACAATGACAAAAGGTCCATCGTAAGTGGCCAAAAACTTTTGGCATAACCCGCGCTTGCGCATCGAAATCCACAACCACACCAGATCACCACGGCGATAAATCACTGGTCGATGGTGAATGTCATAGCGTGCCTTCGCTTTGTCTTGCGATGCCAATGTGTGTAGTCGAGCTATGCGACGCGCCTCTTCGGCGAGGCAGAGAATCTCGGCGACAGTGACGTTATCGTGGTCACAGAAAGGCAATATTCTGTCCATTGTGTGCTGGGGCGAACGTGCATAAAGAAAAAAGAAAGGGCTATAGCCTGTAATCTCATGCTTCGCGGTGTTCAACGCGTAAGTAATGAACGGGAGTACGTCATCCCAGTTTTTGCGCTCACATGAGACATACATAGACAACATGTTGATAATGGTGCAGTTGGTACGCTCCGTCAGCCGATTAGTTTGGGGGTGGTATGGTGTCGAGTGACGCAGGCGGGATTCACATAAACAGAGTAGCTCCTACACGACATCCGCTGTGAATTGTCGTCCGCGATCACTGATAATAAGGCGAGGTGGGCCATGTCGGAGGATGACGTACTGTAACAAAAACGACGAGACTTCACTGGCAGTTTCGGAGGGGACGGCCGCCGTTTCGCAGTAGCGTGTGTGGTAGTCGACGCAAACAATTATCCATCGGTTGCCCTTAGCCGATTTCGGGAAGGGGCCCAGAAAGTCAATGCCCACTTGTTGGGCGGATGCCATCCTTGTCAACGAGATCGAGCACAAGCATCTGGCGGTCTCCGAAGTGGCATTTCTTCGAGTTTAAAATTAGGCCAGCGTTTCGGATGCAGTTCAAAACAGTATCCAGACGAGAGTTGTGTTCACTGAACGTGCGGCCAAAGATGACGACGTCGTCGAGGTAGCACATGCAGATGTTCCACTTCAAGCCACGCTGAATGGTGTCCATAAACCTCTAAAACATTGCCGGTGCATTGCACAGTCCAAATGACATCACATTGAATTCAAAGAGCCCATCAGGGGTCACAAAGGCAGTCTTTTTCTTGTCCTCTGGGTGCATCGGAATTTGCCAATAACCAGATCGTAAGTCTACGAAGGAAAAATAAGAGGCCGAATGTAAGCAGTCTATTGCGTCCTCTATATGAGGCAGCGGGTATACGTCCTTTTTAGTCACGGAATTCAGTCGGCGATAGTCGACGCAAATCTCCAAGATCCATCTTTCTTCTTAACAAGGATTACCGGTGCTGCCCACGGACTGGCCGACTCTTGTACCACTCCCTTTTGCATCATTTCCTGCACTTGGTCGTTGATAATTTGTCTTTCTGACGGGGAAACACGGTAGGGTTTTTGGCAAATCGGACTTGCTGCGCCAGTGTTGATGGTATGGCACGTTCGAGACAGGGGGATAGGGATTATTTTGCCCTTCTGCGCAAAGTCAAATACCAAAACGTGCTTCAACAGCACATTCACTAAAGTTCGGCGCTCACTTGAGCTAAGTGACTTATTTATCGTTGCCATAAGCGCCCCGTCCAAATTGTGTCACGTTCTTCCGGCACGCCTGTGAGCTTGACCACTGATAAGGTCGCGTGTTTTTTGCTGACCGAAGCTAATTTCAAACCATTGGGTAGTGTCACGGGCTCAGAGGAACAGTTTACAATCCATAGGCCAGTTCGTCCGCCATTAATCGACACCACTTAATGGGTAACCAACACATTCTTCTTCACGCAGTTTATGTGCATTGGTTCTACGCTCGCATCGAAGCTGTCAGCATCCGCACCGCGACAAACAACAGGAACACGTACGGTAGACAACGCAGGTATGAACGTATCGCCACAGACACACAGCGTAGTTTGGTCATTCGCTGGAGTTTCCAGAAGTTCTGAAGGCATCTGGCCACTCACAAAGACTTTCCCCGTGCGACAGTCTACAGTGGCACCCCATTCTCGCAAGAAGTCCATACCGAGAATGACATCATGTGTCGACCGAGGAATAATCGCAAACTCTGTCGTTATCATAAGGCCTCCCAAAGATACCTCAGCACTACACACACCAATAGGGCGCAATGGCTCTCCACTCACTCCACAGAACGTCGGAAGTTTCATCCCAGGTAAAAACAACTTGCCGCCCTAACACGTCTTTAAAGGAAGCACTCATCACGGAAATCTGTCACCTGTGTCCACCAAGGCCATCACAGGCACATGATCCACCAAAACACGCACTTTGTTTTTAAACATTAACTGTTTTAAACATTTTAAACTGTTAACGAGTTCTCCAAAGTTCTGGACAAGTCTGGACAGGTTGATGTCATCTTTATGGACTTTTCCAAGGCCTTTGACAAGGTCCCGCATATTAAGCTAATAGATAAGATGAAGGTTATTGGCATTCCTCCGGAAATAATTAACTGGGTCATAGCATACTTAACGAACAGAAAACAGTACGTAGATATAAACGGTTTCACCTCTGGGTATTTGGGGGTGTTATCTGGAGTCCCGCAAGGGTCAGTTCTCGGGCCTCTACTATTTAATATTTATATTAACGATTTAGTTCAAGCCATCCGACCTGGCGTGTCTGTTAAGTTATTTGCAGACGATTGCATAATTTTTAATACCATAAATTCTATCTCTGACCAGCATGACTTGTGTGAGAACTTAATCTACATAAAAGAATGGTGTAAAAAGTGGGAAATGGTAATTAATTTTGAGAAAACTGTATATTTATGTCTGAGTAACAAATCCGAAAACTGGAGTTTACTTATAATGTAGGTGGATACGCTATCAGGCAAGTAGAAGAATTCAAGTACTTGGGCGTAACGATTACATCGAAGCTTACCTGGACAGCACATATTGATGATATATGTTCTGCTGCCAGGAGAAAATTAGGCTTTCTAAAATATAAATTGGGTCGTTCTTCTAGTTCACTAAAACTTAGAGCCTATAAAGTCATAGTTCGTCCTTCTCTTGAATATGCCAGCATTGTGTGGGACCCCCACACAGCTGGTAATATACAGAAAATAGAAAAAATACAACGATTAGCTGCTCGATTTATATACAACCGGTATAGATGTCGCGATTCGCCGTCAGCCCTGTTGCAGGATGCGAACCTCCAACTTTTGGCCGATCGAAGGAAAACTGCACGGCTTAACTTTTTCCGCCTTTTATACTTTTCCAGATCAGGATTGCACGCACCAGATTACATAACACAGGACACAACCAGGTCTTCACGTCATAAACATAGTCGTAGCATTACACCTATATTTGCACGCACTAACATTTACAAGTATTCATTTTTCCCGAGAACTGTCTCTGATTGGAATGCTCTGCCCCATGATTCCCCTATGCTCAACACGCCGAGATGAAACTATACCCTTTTTTTGTTGCTTAAGTCTGCTTCTTTGCCTGTATTTGTCCCTTGTTTTTCACGAGTTTTTAATGTACATGAATTTTGTTCTGCAGTGAATGTATACTGCAGCGGAAGTGTATGTATGTAGAAGAATTTTGTACTGTATTGCCCTCTCCTGCATGGACCATACTTGGTCCGCAGTATGTGATAAATAAAATAAAATAAATAAAATAAACATACACACAGGAGGTATTTCTCTCAGTAGCACGTTTGCAGTGACCTCACTCCCATTGGCCGCGCTCGCTAGTTTTCCGGTGGCGAAGAGGGTGCTTTGCGACGCAGCGGTGAAAGAGAACGATGAGCACGAGGTCGCCGTGGGGGCGTTACACTCCTGTCAGATGCCGGGGAGTGGTTGCGGAAGTTGCTGGGCCAATAGTTGTCATCAGGTGGTATGTGGGCCAGCCGCCGGACACCATGAGGCTGTTCGAAGGGTTGTGAAAAGTCGGATGGTTGGTGATACCGAGGAGTTACCCGACGGTTGCAAAATCGCGACGATTGCAGAATCGCGAATAGTATTCCTGGTGTGCCAGGAATGCTATTCCTGGCACACCGCAGGAATAGCACACCGGCCGAGATCGAAACGTCGGTCGCTCGTCGATGAATAGAGCGTCATCATTTGCTCTTTTGTGACGGATGTACTGGTCGGGTGCGTCATACCGAGACGTCGGGTGTCGAGGAGGCATGCGCCGAGAGCGTCAGTCATACCGCGACGCGGGGAATCTGGTTGTCATCCTTGACTGTGGGGCTGGGCTGTACTCCACAGTTGCCGCGCTCATTGTTGGTTGCCGTAGGGTCACAGGAGGCACGTCCATAGCCTCACGTGGCAGACACAACTCGCGATGGTCAGCTGTCGAACACGACATTTCTCGTTGGGACAGTTCCTCACGAACAATCTGTCGAATGGTAGAAAAAAGGTCGAGGCCAGGATTCGTGTCCACACTGGCAACAGTTGTAACGTTAGCCAGCCGACCAAACTTGGGCGCAATTCGACGCATCTTGAGCGTTTCAAAGGTTCGGCAATGCTGAATGACGTCCGACACAGAACCGGGGCTTTCTTTTCCAATTAGAAAATTATACACGTCCTCAGCAATCCCTTTGAGCGGATGCCCAACTTTGTCCTCTTCCGACATGGTAGCACAGACCACCTTGCACAGCCTTAACACTCCTTCTATGTAAGTGGTGCATGTCTCACCTGGTAGCTGTGCCCGTTGCGACAGTGTTTGCTCAGCCCGCTTCTTTCTAGCAACCGAGTCGCCAAAACACGTCCTGAGCTCTTCAACAAAAGGTCCCACGTCGTGAGTGCGTCCTCGTGGTTCTCGTACCATACCAGTGCGGTGTTGGTCAGGGAGAACACTACGTTGGCTAGCATAGCGGCTGCATCCCAATCGTTGGACTTGTCCACACGTTTATACTTGGTGAGCCAGGTGTCGATATCTTCTTCGGCTTTTCCTTCGAAGGGCGGTGGAACTTGGTAGTACGGAAGCGGGCCAGGTGGTGCCGTCCTGGAAACGCCTGCTTCTACGGGCATGTCAAAGTCACTCACGGCAGATGGTGGGAGACCGGCAAGTCGACGGCTTCGTCGAAGCTGTGGCAGTAATCGTTCCGTAGTTGAAGCGCTTACCCAGCACCTCCACCACTCTGTTATGTTTGAAAGAGACTGGTAGACGTTGAAAGGGGCCGTTTATTAGGTCGTGAGGGGCAGCTCAGAAGCGGCCGACTGGTTAAAGATCCTCCTGATCCTCTTCTTCCTCTCGCTCTGAGCGACAAGTGCGTTCACCGTATACGCTTCTTTGTCTTCGTGCATGTATGCAACAATATATCCATCATATACAAGTACCGCCATCCAGTAGAGATTCCAAGAACTAAACAAGATGTGTGTGGCTACCCGTTTCTACAACAACATACATACATACATACATACATACATACATACATACATACATACATACATACATACATACATACATACATACATACATACATACATACATACATACATACATACATACATACATACATACATACATACATACATACATACATACATACATACATACATACATACATACATACATACATACATCATGGACGCATGACCCACGGCTTAAGGAGCTTCGCCCCTAAAAACTTTGGCACATGCCAAATTCATCCCCATTTTGACATTCTAGCAACAGAACTCTTAAAGACAGCAGAACTCTTAAAGACAGCAAAGGCACTCAATAAAAGAAACTTCGAATGCCAGAATAGGAATTGGCATACAGATCTTCAGTCCCTTCGCAGCAGAGGCATTTAGAGCCAATAAAAGTGCAGCAGCTGTGTCGCATCCGACTGTGGAGCAATGTGAACGTAGAAATGCCTTTCAAGGGCATCCACCTCTGCAACATATTCGAGGAACCAGTCTTGAAAATTCGCCCCGCTGCGGTAGTCTAGTGGCTAAGGTACTCGGCTGCTGACCCGCAGGTCATGGGATCAAATCCAGGCTGTGGGGGCTGCATTTCTGATGCAGGTGGAAATGTAGGCTCGTGTGCTCAGATTTGGGTGCACGTTAAAGAACCCCAGGTGGTCAAAATTTGGAGCCCTCCACTACGGCGTCTTTCATAATCACAAGGTGGTTTTGGGACGTTAAACCCCACAAATCAATCAAGTCTCGAAAATTCTTAATGACCCTAAAATTGTTTTTCTGCGTGCCATGGCAACATGTTTGGATGTCTGGGAATTCGTGAAGCTGGAGTTTTGACGAAAGAAACGCTCATGGCATTGAGGCTGTCTGTGTACTCGCTTTCAGAGTTCGCTAAATACTGCTTGCAGGAGCTTGGCCACGGTTATCTTTTGCTCGGTAAAGTACAGACAGACTGCTTGGAGAGCCGCTTTCGGTAATAAAGGCAGCTGGCAGGCAGCCAGTATTACATATTTGTGCGTCAGCTGTATGAGAGTTATGGATGAATCCGTCTGCAGAACACTCTGCCTTTAATCACTGCTGAAGACATGCAGAACATTGAAATGAGCACCTGTAGCAGCACGCAGAGCACTTTCTGTATTTCTGTCACAGCCAATGACCTCCATAATTCAAGCTCCCACATCGCTGTCATTTCCTATGTTGGTGGTTACTGCACACATGCAGTTTTGAAGAAACTGAAATGTGACGCATGCTGCAGCAATTTGGTCACTGGTAGAGAGCATACAGTGGAGGAAAGTGGTGGTGATAATGATGATAATATGCATTCATTATTTCAACACCCATATAAATAAATTAATAAATAAATAAGGCTTTATTTTTTCTGTAACATTTAAGAAAGGTGCCAAGAGCAAAAAGCACAGAGGTGTGACAGAAACTCCTGCTCCATTCACGAATTCGTTCACAATTTACATTGAGGTCGTTTGAAATTCCCCTCACCATTTGTTGTCATCATTGTGATGTATGTAGACGTGATTGTGAAGAAGCTCACTGATAAAGATAATTGCGCAGATCTTTGGGAAACAGATGGTTGAGACGCTGTGCGGAGCAAGAAACTGATATCGAAAACGGAATAGTGCCCGTGCCCCCTCACGTACATCTACGTTCACCCTCGGTGCAGCTGGCGAACAGAAGAAACCGAGGACAAAACACGCGGGGACAGATCGACTGTTTGTCTTGCCTTGTTATGAGATCAAAAGCAGCACTAGCCGCCATGTTTGGGTACCAAGCACAGAAAGCATGCCTGTGATGCCACGTGAATACTATGTATACATAGAAAATTGGCACGAGTGCATATCACGAAAAGCTTTTTTTTTTTCTTTTTCTCAGAACTTTACGCCGAACGATCTGACACACGACGTGGTGGTACTCAAGCTTTCGCTGCCGGTGAACTACACGGCGCACGTGCGACCTGTGTGCCTGCCTGGGCCCGGAGAGCACCTGCCCTTGAACACCACCTGTTACGCCACTGGATGGGGAAACACGCGAGGTTCTTCATTTCTTTTCATCGAGCTATGCATGCAGCGTTTTTGTCAAAGTTGTTTAGTTCACCACTATAGCAAAATTTTTTAAAATTCTTTTCGTGTACCGGTGTGCCGCTTAATTTATGTTGCTTCATGCTTAATTTGTGTCCTAGGGCCTCTTCAAAGGAGCACTGACAAAAATTTTGCGTCTCGTTTATTTGTCGCACTAAGTAGCTGCTTACTTATCGCCGCTAGAAACCTCGTTTGTGCATGCGTGCGACAGTTATTTATTCAGAGATGTTTTCAGAGTCCTGCTCGTCATTTCAGTTTCAAAGAGCAATCAGCTAGGCAGGAGCAGTTCCGATGGCTAGGTAAATACAGCTGGCCACGTGACCACGCAAACACGTGACGTGGAGTAGCGTGCGTACAGGCATGAGCTGGTGCCGCACTGACCAGCAACTCGTGACATGAATTTCTTTTCGTTGGCACCACCGCGTTGATGTCGACATGGCTAGGTGCACTGCATCTTGCTAATCACGCAGCATGCACTTTAAAGTTGATTTTAAATATGTTTTAGGCCAGGAAGTCTAAAGGGAGGGGGTAAAGAATTTCGGTAATTCATTGTAATAAGCCAAATTACAATAAAAAAGTTGCCACATATTCACGAAGTGATTGATGATGAGTGGACGAAGCAGTGGTATCGTTCATTGTGGCCGTGAATCAGCAGTGACATTGGTCACTTACGCATGTAAATTTGTGTCAAGCGGTGTAAAGTTATATAAAATGCTTATTGGTCATAACTAATGTGCACTGTTGAATTGTAAATGTCGTTTTGCCTGCATTATTACTGCATTGTGGTATCATATCTATCCTGAAGTTGGCAAAGACAAGGTCTGAGTACGTTCCACTTGTGGTTGTTGGTTGTTTTCAGTCATTTGATATTGAGACGTCGCCTACTGCACATGCCAGTTCATGACCATCGTCATCATCTTTATCAGCGTCATGGCATATAGTAAATACCTTGCATGTTCCTTCATGGCAGAGAGCGAATGTGTGGTCTGAAAGGTGCTTGTTCTTCCCTAAGGTTGCAGCCCCGCCGCGGTGGTCTAGTGGCTAAGGTACTCGGCTGCTGACCCGCAGGTCGCGGGTTCAAACCCCGGCTGCGGCGGCTGCATTTCCGATGGAGGCGGAAATGTTGTAGGCCCGTGTGCTCAGATTTGGGTGCACGTTAAAGAACCCCAGGTGGTCGAAATTTCCGGAGCCCTCCACTACGGCGTCTCTCATAATCATATGGTGGTTTTGGGATGTTAAACCCCACATATTACCATCAACTTCTGGAAGCGCAAACAATCAAATAGTCCAAGCTTGCTACGCTCCCAAAAGAGGAGTCGCGAACTCTTCTTGTCAACTGGATTTGTGATTATCATGTGTACAACTTGCTCATCTGTATATATCATCATCATCAAGTGTAGTCTCGAATAAAGCGATTTCTGGTGAGTGGTAGACGGTGCTTTTCGGCCCCCATGTCACTGGAGCTTCTCTCGGGTCATCGCGTACTACACCTGCAATGTCCGCTCAAGACAATCCTCTTAATGTTGTAAGCACAATATTGACAACGTTTGACCTTCATCTTCTTCATATATATATATATAATCACCATCATGAAAAACGACGTCTTCGTTCGAAGGGTTGATCAGGCGATTCGGCCTAATAAACGCCGTCGAGACTCCAACGCTGCTACTGTCTTACAATATTGGCAATTCCGGCTACCACTAGCTCTTCAGTTGAACAGGATATGTGACACAGGAGTGCCGCACTTGACTGAAGCTCGAATCATTGGAGAGCATATGTTGACTGTCGTGTGTCGATTGCTTAGGTTTCACTTTGATATGTTGAATAAAATGCCACAATATCGAAAAATGACGTCTTGTCCCCACAGCAAACGTTCATAATGTCAGGCCAGGCTGTGCTCGGGGTTTAGTTTTTGTACGCCGGGCCGAGCGGGTTCTCAGCCCTTTAACGTCGGGCTCGGGTGGGCTTTCAACGCAGTCAGCAGGCCGGGCTTTGAGATTTGGCCCGTGCACTGATGTAGTCAAAAGTGCCATGTCTGATGAGAAGTGACAAAGGAAATGGTGTTTTCATATCGTCTCGCCGGTGGTCGCACGAACCGCTCGGCTATGTTTGCCCTTCTTGATATTTCGTAGATGTTGTGTTTGTCTTCACATGAATCTATTTTCTTCCTTTTGACCGCAGGGAGTGGCCATTCTTTCTTGCTGAAGCAGGCTCGTCTTGTGGTGCGCGACTTCAACCAGGCGTGCGCCGGCATCCTCAGCATTCAGCCAAACCTCCGCAAGGAGTACCTGGTGTGCGCCGTCGACGAGTCTGATGACTCCGGACCGTGTCACGTCAGTTCAGCTATGTATTCAGCTTGTCGATCATTATTGAAGGTGTATGACATTCTGCCTTGCTTAGAAGACAGCACGAAGATGACACACAGAAGGTGGCGTACATCTAAAAATATGCTTACTGTGAAAACAATGCACCGTGTATGGATACAAAAAAGGCTGCCTGCACCACAACTAAGACAGAATACAGAAACCTCTTACGTGTATAATTCAGTTATTTTGATAATAATGTTTTCGCAAGCCAGCTCTGCCGCAATGGGCCAATAAGTTAACACAGTTGCACCGAGGCTCTGCGTTCTGCATGCAGCCTAAATAGCAGATGACAGTGAATTCGCTCATTGTTACTTACGTGCATCACGAGCGCATCACAGATTTGCCGCGTCGCGAGTTGCTGTCTCCTCATGACGTCACACTGCTGTGACACATCACTGAGAAGCCGCCCTCTCGATATTGATACCGAAACATTTGATGGATTTTCAGGCACTATGGACAATACCCGTTTTGGTTTCTCTACACCAGTATCCTTATTTAGAGCAACAATCCGTAAAATTTTAAAATTCGTGTCAGTACTCTTTTAAAAGCGAAGCTATGAAGCAAAACCAAGGAGCAATATAAAATTTTTCTCTATCTTCCTTGAGCATAACAGGGCAGAAGGGTCCTAATACACTCCTACGTGGCAAGAAGTTGGTGCCCAAAGCTGCCGTTCGGTTGACTTGAAAAAGAGCCAAAATTCAAGCTAAAGGTGGCTAAAGTAGCCAAGTCATATTTGAAGCCAAATTAAGCAAACGCGTTATTACGAGTGGAGTTTTTATTATTGAACACATCTAATATGATTTGAATTTTGCATATGATAGAGAAAGGGAGAAATGGAAAGGACACCGTGGGGAAGTAAAGTGCGTTTAGGCTAGAAAGGAAGAGTGAAAGGCGTGGTGAGCCCTGCATCTGAGGCACGAAGAAGCGGCGAGCTCAGTTAGCGTAAAATACGAACAATGAAGAGCACAATATACTATCCCTTTTTTCCTCTTGCTGGCCCCCCTTCAAGCTGCAGGGGTCATTCGCACCCATCGACCAACAATAATCTTGAAAACAGTGGTTATTTTGGTTTTTGAATCTTATATCCTGGTAACCAAATAAAATTGATAGAAATGTGCCAAAATGGAAGTTCGTAGAAGTCAGAAAATAGCCATAGCGCTAACCTAAAGCATTTGTCGACCAGACGACGCAGCCAATTTGGCGCAATGTATATTCACCACCATAGGCAGCCCTTTTTGTGCCCCGATTTCATATGTCATACAATGTATTACCGAGTTCGCAGCTGTCCAGAAAGCGTACTGCAGAACCTTTGTGTTCGCTTCATGGTTGGCTGGTTGGCTTGGTTGCCAGACGTATACTTTCGAAGTATCTGACCTTATGCACCCCGATAAATTCTCGAAAGCCGCGCGGGGATGATGGAACAATTAGTTTTTGTATTCGCACATACAGAAGGTGCATTGCAGTGGAGAAGTAATTGTGCTCAGCTGCCGACCCGGTTGTCGCGGGTTTGATGCCAGTGTTTGTATTTCGATGGAGGCGATATACTAGAGGCCCGTTTAATGTGCGACATCAGTGAGTGAGCCAGGTAATAGAAATTTCCAGAGCCCTCCACTACGGCGTTCCTCACATAATCATAAGGTGAAAATTTTCAGTCGTAAAAAAAAACACTAGATATTACTGCACATACTATAGAGAAGCAGCACAAACATGAATGGGGCGAGTTTCATCACCATCTTTCACTGAAAATGTTGCGTCTTTGTATTCGTATCAAATTATTAAGAACTTGTGCTGCACACGAAAACGCTTGGGCTGGTACATTCAACGTTTTGTGACCATGAGCATTTTATATTGCGATCGAAGTGGACAATTGGGCCAGCTAGGGATTCATGAATAATGTATGTTGCACGGTAGAAAACACGGACAATAAGTAGACAAGGACAAGCGCAGACTTTCAACTGAAAATTTATTTGTCATGCAACATATATATATATATATATATATATATATATATATATATATATATATATATATATATATATATATATATATATATATATATATATATATATATATATATATATATATATATATATATATATATATATATATATATATATATATATATATATATATATATATATATATATATATACGTCGTCTTCTTTTTCTTCGGCCCGCGAGAGTCCCATTGCCGGTTTTCATCATGACACTTGGCCATGACTGCTGCGAGTGTGCGCAGGTGCCGATATTGTCTATGGAGGGTGGCACTGGGAATGTGGTGGTGGTCGGGCACTTGTACGTTTCGAGCTGTCTTGTTGAACTGTCATATACAGTTAAACCTGCTTATAACGAATTCCTCGATAAAACGAAGTTGTTATATTCCCCGCCGTTGCTCTATAGAAGCACATGTATTTGCGACCTCTATGTAACAAAGTAACAGCGGAAGACAACCTTGATATAACGAATTTTCTCCACGGGCAATCTAGTATTTTGCTCCGCATTCTGTTAGGAGAATACATCTTCCGCGGCTGCCCTGCCGCCGACGAAGCAAGCACAAAGCGGCGCGGCATGCACAGCGCACCAGGCGAGAGTGAGCGCCACGTTGCTGCTGTTCTCGCCGCCGCGGGACTACTTTTGCGCCTCGGCAGTGCCACGCTTTAGTTAGTGTCACATACGTGGGGCCGCGCTATATATGGAGGACGCTTTACCGAATAGTTTTCAAGGTATCCATGTATGTGTCCGTGTCGTTCGCTCTTTGTTTTTGACGCCATGCGCACGTGCATAGTTTCCTGTGCGTGCATGGTGTGGCCCCTGATGACGTTCAGCTTTGCTTTTTTTTTTTCATTGCCATAGCATTTATGCCGAGAGTCCCGGCTGATTTATTGCTGTTGCCGCCGCAGCCGTCATTCACCGTATATGTATGTATCTAATATGAAAATTCAAGAAGAAATCGGTTCCAAATCTGGATGTTAAACCGCAAATGTCGTCGAAAGATAGTAGTCTTGCATCTGGAGAGAGTGAACAAAACGTTTATTTGATGTTCTGCGCAAGAAAATCGGTGAATGGTATTCTGCAGGCGCTGTGTTAGAGTGCCTCGAGCGTGTAGCGGAGGCGAACGAGCGCATCGAGGCACGTTAGACACAAGTGCCATCTGGCAGTTATCTTCGAAGACGAAAGCGTGCAGCCTGTGGATAAAGATGTGCGCCAATCTCGGAGGTGATAAGGTGTAAAACGCAAAGCGGCGGGCCGTTGGAAACACCTTTTTGAGCACCGCGTTGCACTGTCAGCGCAGTGCGATTAAACGCTACATTCCTCAGAGTTACTTGTGTGTGCCTCTTCTAGTACAAAGGCAGACATACAAAACATCGAAGCGTTGTTGTGGCACCTCATATATGGGCAATAATTGCTTTTTAATTGACAATCGCACAACTATGAACGCTAAACCTTGAGCAATATCGGTGGGCACTGTGGATGGGGTTGGCCGTTTAATGCAATTTGAGGTATCGTTAGGGAGGACAAACAGACAAATGTACAGATGGAGCAAAATTTTTTCGTCGAAGGTCCCCGAGAAAGACTATCGTCTTTAAAAAAAAAGCCACCCGCGCTCGGCACCCAGCTCGTCATGATGCGTCGACGCGCGCTTATCTCCCACGCATACTGTGCCCCATGAATAGAGAGGAGGGGGGGTAGATGCTTATGCACACGTGCTTATCCTTCGGTGGGGAAAATAGCGCCATTGACCGGAACGATTGCGTTTAGTTGCCGGGCACACAAAGATTACTTCACTTGCTGGACAGGCACCGTTTGCCAAAAGAGTGCGCTTTTCAAAAACAGCGAAGTGACAACTGGGGCACATGTTAGTGTGCACTCATATCTGTGCCTGTGATTACATTTTGTGCCTCATTTTCGTTTTAACAGCGCGTTAGGTGCCGAGCGATAAACGTTGTTTGTTTGCTTTTGTCCTGCGAATTGTTTTCGTGCATCATTTGTGAGTGAGCAGCAGGTTGCGCGTTTCGATCTGCCTGCCGTTCTTAGCGTTACATTCAAAGTTGTTGCTATTGCAGTCATTAATTGCTGTGCTCTTGCGGTGAAACTGTGACTTTTCTCAATTTTGGACAACCGTGTCGTCGTCACCGAGGGGATGTAAGATGAGGCACTGATGGAAAACCTCTGAGACCACGGACGGTGACGATGGCTCTTCGGAGGTCATGCGCTTCTATCTTGCACCGCGCCGCGATTTCGCAGGCTGGTTTCGCGATTAGCTGATTAGTTCTGGCAACATGACGGCATGTTGAATGCAATGCAATAAACACGATAGCAAAAAGTTGTAATGTTATACGAAGTAAGGCTGCAGCCAACTCTTTTGGACTGGATATCGCAAAACTCTTACAAAACGCTGCTGTAAGCAAATAAGGCCTCTCCAGAAAGAAGTACTCTTTTCACACAGTCACTTTGCGCTGAAATCGCACTGATACTCACCGAGATAGCAAGTGTGCAAGCAATCGCCCTTAAAAAATAAGTTCATTAATGCTGTATAGTCGATCAATCCCCCCCCCCCCGCCCTCCCCGTGTTGTTTCAGGCTCGTTCAAAACGGGTGGTTTAATCTCTGAGCATTTGACGGCAGTTCTAACAGACGGGAGATGTTATCTTATGCACTTTTCAGGTGATGGGAATGGGCCGACTCATTTGATCTCTGCTTCAGCAGTGCTCGCGCGTTTTTACCCGCTCATGAAAGTTACGATGCGTGGGGGCATCTTATCAATTCGGACTTGTTACGGAACATGGCGGCGACGGAAAAAACCTGCCGAGTCTGTCAATGTAATCGCTATTGCAATAATAACGCAGTTTTTGTACTGTAAAATAAGTTTTATGGGTTAGCTCTCCTTCAGTACCCCTCTTGTTTAATTTGCACGTTTATTTTCCGAATTTTTGTACCAAACCTACATATAACGAAATCCTCTTTATA